TATTTATCTATTTCATCCAGTTCATTTATATTTGTCTCTATGTCACTACCTCTCTGATTATTTATTTCATCCATAAACATTCCTCCATGCTTCCGTCCTTCTGTCCCTCGTTCTCTAAGATAATGTATCACTATATTTCTCTCCTGTATTGAAGCCTTACATGCGTTCCTGGTCACATACATTCCTTCTTACATACCTTTCCCGACCCCACCATCTCTCAAGGTGGACCAACAAGTAGATGACATTTCTGCGGAGATCTACTTGTTGCTCTATCTCTCGGGGAATATTTACCCCTCCTATGCACACATACACTAAAAAAGAAGACACTCACTTGTTTGTAATAGTATAATGGTCGTTATGTTTTCTTTTGTTTGGAAGTTTCTTTCTATCTTAATATATATTTATATACTTCTGTGTAAATTCGTTGTAATGAATTTTGAGCGTTTTTACCGATAATTACAGTAATTTATATACATTTTTTTAAACGTTTTTGTTTTAAATTTTATTTTGTAATATCTGTAACGAGAGTGTTTTAGGTGATTTGAGTGTGTGAGGTGCTTTGGATTGGTTTGGGGTGTTTTGAAGGTTTGATGTGGTTATGGGGTTTTTCGATGGACCGTCTCTGTGCCAGCGCCGCAATGTTAACATATCTTTCGAACAACACAGTAACTTATGACGTGTGACCTTAACTAATGTCAATGGGAATATACTCTATTCTGGGATATCGGGCCATTTAATTCCCCCAAGGATATGAAGGGGCTTCTTTCTTGTGCTCAATGATGTAGTGCTGAATAAAGAAGTGAGAGAACGCAATAAAGAAGTGAGGAGCGAATGTTACTCTAATGGGGTCAATACCTAAGTAAGGGAACGTTGTTAACACGCTTTTCCATTGCACTATACCGATTCTTGTGCTGGTTTGCAAAAAAAATGAAACATAATTGAAAACCTTTTTCTTTTATTTTAAACAAATACAGATTGTTTCCTGATACCAACATTGTTGATACCATGCTAAACTCATTAAAATCTTGAATACCTTACGGAACAAGTATTGCTTTAAATGCAACATAGCTTTGTGCCAATGCTTATTATATTGTATACATAAAATTTTGTTAGTAATTGTTCATTGTCTTTATACATAGACAGACTTTGTTTAAAATAAAAGAAAAAGGTATTCATTGTAGATAAATGTCTTCTTGACGTACTGAGTACGCATAAAGACTATATCAAACATAACGTATTCTCGCATAGTCTTAATTCCGGTTATATAGATGTACCAATAGTACACCTCTTTATCAGAGACAAAGAACAGTAACTAAGATATATTTTATACGGTCCTGAAAGTTCAAATGCTTAATGAGATATCAAGCAATAGTATGAGCAGTTAAACCTCAGAAAACAGAAAAACAAAACACGGATTAATTGGAAGAATGATTAATCGTACAATTTACTTACACATTGCACAAGTAAGCCAGAGTAAGATTCCACTCAACGCCTTCTATATTACTCCCATGAATGACCGTGAACAAGCAGTCACCGTGAACATGCAAAAATATGAAAAAGACAGACATTTTGGCAGTGCTGTTGTTGTTTTGTGTTGTTTTTTTTTAAAAAGTATGCTTGGGGTGAGAGATGAAAAGAAAAGAAAAGGGAGACGAAAAGATGCGGTTTACTGAAGGAATTCTGTAACAAAAAATAATTATTTAATGGATAAGGTAAACATGGAACGCTTTTCAACTTATTCAGACATAAAGATATCCTTGGCAAAAGGTTTAACATTATTTTAGATACTACAATGTGGATAGAAGGTGGCAACTAAGTCTACAGATTGGAAAACATTTCCTGCAGTACGATACAATTACTTTAGAATAAATTGCAAAATCATGCATTGCGTACAGTTCATTGTATGTGTAAACATCGGTTGTTTTCAATTAAAACTATTCTGTGTATTGTTTAAATATTTAAACTATATTATACGCAGAGCTTAAATTTTCTATGATATATCTGATGGTGTTGTTATTTGCTGTCTTTTATGTATATAAACATAATAAATTTTGTGTTATTTGTGTTGTACCATTCAAATCATCAAGCAGATTCTTTTTAAAAGGAGATAAAACATTTTCAACCGAAAAAAAAACTCCTAGAGATAATAATGTAGTCCAGGATAAAATCATGTAAATGTAATGGACTTCCAAATCGACTATTAAAATGTAAATAGTGTCACAATCATTGTGCCAGCTAAGCAAAAGTTTCTGGAACATTTAAAATTTTCTATCTGTTGTCTATTTAGAGAATGTTATACCATTATTTCCTATCTGTTAATTTTTTTCCAAGCAACATTCGTGATTCCCTTCAGCATATTTATGCAGCATGAGGAAATTTCTACTTCATACAGCATATATATTCAAATCTCATGAAATTTCCACATCGTAATCCGCTCTCAAATCATAACAGACATACCATGGTATATGATAAGTTAAAGGCATAAATCTGATATCCTTAGTCTTTATTGTAGTATATTTGACTTAAAATATGTCAGCTTGTCTAACCCTACTACTAATACAGGGATGTGAAAAATCTAATATATTTAAAAACTTTTTTTTTGTTTTGTTTAACGTGACTACTTTATGTACAGACCGACATTACTCTCCTATGTATACACCTAGGTAATTTATTTACTAGCTTGTGAATTACATTAGTGTTTCTGTTTACGGTGACGTTTAAGTCATAAACATTGCATGCGATTAAAAATTTCAACAAAAAAAGTTCATTTGATTCTTCCTACTGGTAATCCTTGTTATGAAAAATATAGTATGGTCGATTTAAGGTATATTTAAAAGAACTTACAGTTTTCTTTATTGTGATGTCTGATTGATAGGGTTGATTTGGGTTTGAGAGTAAACAGCCGAGCCTTGTTTCTCATGTGCGACTCATCCAAGATAGTTAGCTCTTCATTGCTATTTTCATTGCAAACTTCAGGTGTACATTATGAGAAAAGAACCAAATCAATAACTTCCTTCTGGTTATTTTTTGTTCATATTGCACACTTTCTTAAGCGTACTTTCAGACACCAATAAGTACATTTGTTCTTGTGTTTCAATAAAAAGTTCATTACTGTACGTAATGCTGTTTCAAGTACATTTGTCTAGCAAAAAGAAACAATAATTTTTGTATCAAATCTCTTCTTCAGACTTAACAGCTTTCTCAATAATGATCAAAATGAAATGTCATTTCAAGACGTGTACTTATAGTGTAGTTTATCTACGTTACACCAATAAGTAGAGGCCAGGCATGGGGCCGATTACGATTGTCATAATAATCGATTGTAATCATTGATTACCACCAAAAAAATCACTAAATTTTACTCTTAATAACTGTAAAAATAATTTTCAAAAATCCACAAACAAAAAATCAAGAATGTTGATTATTACAAAATCTATATTTATTCAATGCTCGTCATTTTATGATCGTGACAATGTTGATGAATGTGATGCAAACAGTGCTAAGTAGTGCACATTTGACATGTTAATTTGTATGTAAATAATTGGCAATAAGCATTTACATAGACTTAAGATTGTTTGTTTTTCAGTTATACAACGCATGGTATCTGCCCAGAACAAAAAGAAGAAAAAAAGATAACAAGCAATTACTAAGCAATCGTAATCGTATCGTAATCATAATCATCCCCTGTAATTGCAATTGTAATCATGGTTTCCACATAAAGTGTAATTGTAATCGTAATCATCGGTGACAAACAACTTGTAATCGAAATCGTAATTGCAATCGAGCACCTGCACTAGACCCCATGCCTACTAGTGGCGGAGAAAAAAAAAAACAGTGCTTGGTCGCTCGCTTCCACACATGCATCAGCAATTTAACATTATTCAGGTCAATAACCAATGAATATATATGTGTTCTGTTCTGACACTAATTAATGCTAAAAATGTTAGTGTTCTGAAGGATTTGCTTTGGATAAAAAAAAAAAAAAGATGTATTTCACATAAAATCCGCATACGAAAGTCAGTCGAAATAAATGTTCTAATTGTTGTCTCCACGGCTCTTAATGCTTGGACAAAGAACTACTTCTTAGTCTATCTCTACCTTGTTAGACCAGTGAAGCATGCGACTTTTTCCAATGCTCCGCCTACTTTAAACGGTACTCCAAAAACCTTGAGTCGAAACCTTATTACATCACTTGTTGGATTTTGTCGGTTATAATTTTACCTAACATGCAAATCAAAATCATGTTGATTTATTTTGTGCATTGTAAGATGCGATATACTCCTCTCAAATTGCAGTTAATCTCTCTCTCTCTCTCTCTCTCTCTCTCTCTCTCTCTCTCTCTCTCTCTCTCTCTCTCTCTCATATATATATAATGCCCTGGCCGCTTATGTTCATGGTGGGAATTGTTCTTTTTTAAACTTAGTTCTATTTAAACTAATCTGCATATGTTATACCTAATCAATATTTAACTTACATTAAAGGTGGTAATTTGTAACAGCATAATTTTATACCTACGTATAAGCTAATATATTTACATCAAATCTCTCTCTCTCTCTCTCTCTCTCTCTCTCTCTCTCTCTCTCTCTCTCTCTCTCTCTCTCTCTCTCTCTCTCTCTCTCTCTCTCTCTCTCTCTCTCTCTCTCTCTCTCTCTGCCTCGATGAACTTTTTATAACATAAGGGTCAATGTATGTATGTATAGTTTAACGACACATCACACAGTCTATGATGTACAGTACCGAGTGTGTGTATGGGGAGGGTGGGTGTGATTTTGGATTTTTTTACGTAGCTTTAACGATTTTTCAGTCATATCGCTACGATGGCTGCATTGTGGCAGTTTATAGTGATGTCAAGCACTAGGGCATCATGCAGCAGACACGTAGCATGATCCTCCATCCAGTCACATTATCCTGACACCAGGCCGGCCAGTCCTAACACTAACCTCTTAATGTTGAGCGCCATGCGAGGCAGCTGTTAGCACCATTGTTGTAAGTCTTTGGTATGACTCGGCCAGGGTTCGAACTCACAACCTGCCGTATACAAGGCGGACGCTCTAACCACTAGGCCACCGGAGCGATCTAGTTTCGAGTAACTTTAGTTATCCCATAGTAGAAGTCATACTAAACAACCGCAGCGCACTAAGGGTAATTGCGCCAGGGATGACGATGATGGTCCAAAAGGGTTTTGGTGCCCCAAGACCTTTTGCACCCCGAGTTTCGACACTCCAAAACCTCTGGTGCCCGGGGCAGTGATTGATACAAACAGCACTCTTTAGAATACTTCTTGACTTTCTCATCTGAAACATCACCATAGGAAGCACTTGTGTACATAAAAATTGCATCTAGTTAGCAGTATCGTACGGAATGCAGAAGGGTGCATCAGACCTCTTACGTAATAGAGAAGGGCGCAGAAGGCCTCTAATGCATTCCCTAGCTCGACAATGCTACTAGTGAACAAAGCCCATACAACGAATAAATCTTACTATTTTATATTTCACTGTTGTCCAAAACTCTCAATTCACCAACTACTTTCGATTAAAAAGTTCTACGAAGAAGAGAAGAAAACAGAGATTAGAGATTAGGAGGGAGGAAGGGATGGAGGGAGAGAATAATTTCTTTGTGTGAAAAAATTAGTTTGTCACAGTTCCATGTCACAGACACATGTAAAAAGAAATGTAAAAACAGTATTAATGTTATATACATGCAGTGTTCACAGATACTGATGAAATTATTTTGTTCAAGACAGAAAAGGATGTATACTGAAGAGTACATCTATGGACGTTAAGGAAAACTTTCTGAAGCATTGCTTTAACCAAAATGACAAAAACTGAAAAAGAAACACATCGTGACAAGAAATAACGACAATTAAGCAACAGTAGTTGCTACTGATGATTGGTTGCATTTAGTGTCGTTGTTAATAATAATAATAATAATAATAATAATAATAAGAATAATAATAATAATAAGAATAAGAATAATAATAATAATATTATTATTATTATTATTATTATTATTATTATTATTATTATTATTATTATTATTATTATTATTATTATCAACAGCAATAACAAACAAACAACAACAATAGCTAGAGCTGCTGCAGAAGCGTTCAGGACATATCTGTGAAAATATTTCACATTTTGAAGGGCATATCAAGGGCCGTGACGGAAATATGTTGTAATGAGCCGTATACTGTCTTTACTAAACAGGATACATGTATCAAAAGTAATCCATATATAAAGGCAAACCACTTGAGTCAAACAGTCCGTCAAGAAGCCACATAGAAGAAGGAAGGATGGGTACATCTCTCTCTCTCTCTCTCTCTCTCTCTCTCTCTCTCTCTCTCTCTCTCTCTCTCTCTCTCTCTCTCTCACACACACACACACACACACACACACACACACACACACACACGAATACACAAAAGTATGGCAGCTGACATTGTTTAATTCAATGAAAACATATTCCCTAAAACAAATCCAATAGCCGTTAACGTATTATGTTTTGTAATTTGTCTTTTTTAAATTATCCACAACCATGTGTGATTTTTTTTTCCTCGTTAATATTATTTTTTGGCAATTATTTTCGTCTTTTATATTGCTAAACGCAGCAGAGGTTCTCATTTGCGTAAGTCATGGTCCCTTCGCAGAAAAATATATGAAAAGATTTAATAGATTTATTTTGTTAATGAAATCTGGTGAAGAAGGCTCAACGTAGACTTATAGACAAATAAGCACACACACACACACACAAGACTACTTATATATTCATTATTCCTGGTTTAGATACAATGGAATATGGTATGACCGTTGTATGCAGTTTATAAAACTTTCGCATACATACCACTTGCCATTAAACTGAGAGGATCGTGATCGGGGGCTGAGTCTTTTGCGTATCAAACTTTCCAGTCCTCTGCTACCTTGAAAAAAAAAATTATTTCTTTTAGTTTTAGAAAAAATAAGTATTACTTATCATATCCATAATATTAGCTACAGCTACCCCCCTCCCAAATTCCCACTTACAAATTAAATAGTCTGTTCATTGATGTTATATACATTTACATATGTCATAAATGTCCGGGTCGGTTAAAGAGATCGTTAATGTGAAATTGTGACACCACTTTATAATTCGGTCATATTAAGGAAGATATCACTAAGTGCAATTATCTACATAAATGTAAGTGATCATAGTTTGTACAGACGTCTTCAGTAAGTTGCACGTTGTGTATATAGGAATTATTCTGTTACCGGCCGGGAAGTCAACGCAGGCATCGATAGAACATCGATTAATATTCTAGTGCGGGAGTTCACGTTTATTGCTGAGAACACATCATGGGTATACCATTATAATATATTGTTTATTTTATGAATGGGTTTTCTTTTAGAAATTCATTATTTAATATCTTGATAAGTTTTATTCAATCTGCTATTTTTGTTTTAAAGTTTTAGTTTTGTTTTAAAGTTAAATAAATGTATATTTATTTTTATTTTCCTTAATTTATCCTATTCAAACTTTGTGATTTTTTAAATATGATTTACTAAAGCCAGATGTATGCCATGGATGTAATTTAAAACAAAGGGGAAGGTCCACATAATAATAGTAAAAATCATGCAATTTATTTTATTTATCATTTTTAAAAATTGTTGTAGTCAGTTTGCATGACATAGACAATGACGATTTAGTCCATAAGTGAGCGTTACATGTTGATCACTTTTAATCTTGTCCACGTGGTGCTAGAATCCTACACACACGTGACGTGAGTGAGCCAATTGAGGGGGGGGAGTATAGTCAAGGCTGGATGGAAGTGACCCAAAAGGTTTTCAAATTACATTTCTGCCAAATCAGTCTCAGACTCTGACTCAGATTATTTTATTTTTGATTGTAACTGAATACAATTTAATAACTGGATTCAGACTGCTATGTGCAGCTGCAAGAAATTTTGAATAAACGAGTACATGTGAATGCAGCCGCATCGAAATTAATTTGAGAGCATAGCTAGTAATACCAGTTACTGTCAATATAGCTCCGACAATAATACCGACTGGTAAACCTACAATGGTTGATGTGGTCGTGATTTCAGTCAACCAAGACCAACAGTTGCTGCAGCAACAAGACCGCAAATAGCATCTAAGGCCAGAAATGCGCGTTTCTATTTTAAGATCTGTATGTTTCTGTTGATAATTTAATTTCTCAACTGTTGTTTATTTTTTCACGTCGGTAAGACTGAGAGTCAGTGAAAGTTCTTCTATTAATAATACAATCGCGTAATTTAATTGCATGACAGACATACATTGTCTTGTCTCGTCATCACACGCAGGTGAAATAAGCACAAATCCAAATACTTTGCTAACTGTTACAATTGTCATGCATTTACAGAAAACCGCTGTCTCGCGAATACTTCAAATCTCTAGCGAGTGTGCCTTCTGGTGGTCCGGTATTGCGATCGTTTAAAAACACCGATTGAGTCAGAACCTTTAAAAGAAACGATCGTCTTTGCCCAATAACTGTTACTCGAAAAAGTTCGTTTTTGTCCAATGGTATAGTAGACATCTTTTTTTGTCTCAAGTGAGTCAACGTTGGTTTAAAAGTTTCGTATGTGAACGAAACTGATGTAGATGCATCAGTCAATACCACATCGCCACTGTAGAAACAACGTGGAGTATTTTGCACCTAGTGATAATTACAAGCTGACCTCGAGTTGCTATTGATACATCAGGCTGGTTTTAGCTATACATTACTATTTATCCATTAACAAGATTATATTTCAGTGCGTACGAGGGACTGGTAACTCCACTTTGACTCAGATATTCATCTACATGTGGAAAGAAATGTCATTGATGTAAACATCCGTTGATATTTGGTCCGATAAACGTGTAATCCTTCAACAAAATTTCATCACCGACAACTAATGCTAAAGATATGACTGTGAAAAGAATAAAAATCCTATTGTCCGGATTGAAAGCATAGATATTTCCTGGCATGAAATAAAGACCAGGATGCTTTTTATCATTTATCTTCATTCATATTTCACCCAATGTATTTTTATTTCCACTTATAAAAAAGTATGATCCGACTCGCCCACTTTAAAGATGTGACGTTCAGGTAGATCCAGACCATTGGTAATATAATGAAAACATGATGACCACTTCCTATGGTTGTAGAGGGATATTGTGCTCCACTCCTTCTTTGACTAATATTTTGTTAAATATACCCCATGTGCGATTTTCTTCTTGCATGTACTGTCTTGTTAAAATATTATCAAAATAGTCTTTGCTATAAGCAATCAACAAGCCCCTGTATCTGATTCCACCGTTTGCAATGACTTCAACCAGATTTTTTTGCAACAGCGCCTTTCAACCTGACAATGTTTGATGTTTTAAGTGTGCTAATGGGATTTTAAAATCACTTGTCCAGAAACAACACGACTAGTAAAGTCAGACAAATCCGCTGTGTTGACAAATCATCTCAGATGTACATAAGCACCGTGTCGTCGAGCTGAGTAACATCCGTAAATGTTAATAGACATTTTTACATAATTTGAAACTACTTTAATGTGAAATTAATAAGTGCTGTCTTTGTCGGTGAATGTTCCAGTGCACACATTGCTTTCATAATAAAGTGACGCATATGGGACCATCCACCTGAATTTGTACTAATAAGTTTGAATAAAACGTTGGGTTTTTTTTGTCCATCTTGTAGGGCACTAGTGCTCCAAATAATTATTAACAACTTCAGCTGGCGGTACAATTCTATACGAGTGAAAATACAAACTATATTGAGATGTTGTTACTACGTATGCGACCCAGTGAGTGCCAGGTTGACGATGCAATTTTCACGTGTGTGTGGAACCATTGATACAAGTTCATCTCGCATAAAAAGCACCACGAAAATGTTTGATTTTGCAATTACGAGTAAAGCAAGATCGGTCAACGGATCGGTCAACTGCAAGATCGCCGACCAAATGTAATTGGTAATTGAAGGCCCGGTCCGTTTTTATGGGCCTTTTAAAGCCATTCCTGACGCAGTTCTGTAAACCCAAACAGTATTTATCACTGTACAACTGCGCCTGTTGTTTC